GAAAGTCTTAAGCATTCAGCCACAGATTTAAATGCAGTGTGAAAAGTTTGGTGGAGAAATAGATGCTTCACATTCAAGTTCTCCAAGCTTTTGCCACAATTCGCTGAGAAGCATTCATATCTAGACCATTAAGGAAGAATGCGAAAGTTTTGCCGAAAAAGAAGCCGAACACAAGTCACGGCCTGCATACGGTAGGATTAATTAAATAAGAGTAAAAACGTATGCGAGCTTGTGCACATCTATAATGAGAAACCTTGAGACCAGGAACAGAAGGGGCAAGGACAACACCATCTCAAAACCAGCAAAGAAATAAATTAATTAAAGACAATATTCTTCCTTATTCTCTGAAACACTTCCCTACATCATCTGCGGTTGTAGACCGTGAAGTGTGAAGCATTCGACCAAAGATTTAAAGGGAGTCCGAAAAGTTCAGTGCAAAATAGATGCTTCAGATTCAAGTTGTCCAAGCTTTTGCCCCAATTTGCTAAGAAAGATCCATATGTAGACCTCAAAGGAAGAATGGGGAAGTTCCGCCAAAAAGAAGCTGAACACAAGTCACGCCCTGAAGACGGTAGGATTAATAAAATTAGAGTAAAACCGTAGGCGATCTGGTGCACATCCACAATGAGAAACCTTAAGACAAGGAAAAAAACTGACAAGGGCAACACTGTATCCTAGCCAGCGCAAAAATTATTTAATTAAATAAATATTCTTCCTTGTTCTCTGAAACACATCCCCACATCATCTGCCGTTCTACATCGTGAAAGTCTTAAGCATTCAACCACAGACCTAAATACAGTCTCAAAACGTCCTTTTTTGGCGGAACTTCCCCATTCTTCCTTGGTGGTTTACATCTGTATGCTTCTCAGCAAATTAGGGAAAAGGTTGGACAACTTGAACGTGAAGCATCTGTTTTTGCACCAAACATTTGGCTTTGATTGGAAAAGTGACGTGCATATATCAGAAGTTTTCATATTGCGCCTAATAATATTTCTGAGACTTATACTTGCTACAAAAACTTAAAAAAAATAAAACCAAGAACCTACCTTGACTGACAAACGACGCGGATTCGTCTGTCCATTTGACCCACTCATCTCTATTGTAGTAGGCTGCATCTCGGATCGGGAGCCCGCCGGTGGCACCATCGGCGTCCATTGCTTCACACCAGGCAATACACGCAAGCCTATGGAAGAAACAAACAAAAGTAGAAACATTGTAGCTTGTACGTGGTGCCTGAAGGCCAGAACTTTGTGATATGCTGCGATTATTTTATTTGGTGTTTGGAGATTCAATCAGTACTTGTCAAGCGTTGGAATGCCCTTTAAAAAATTCAAACGCGCCAGAGCACCACGGCTGAGCTGGCAAGCTTGCTCGCGTATTGGAGTAAACAAAAGAACTTGCCGGGTCGATTAGACCGTCCACGGAGAAGCCCGCAAGTTGATGAATGTCGAAAAATCTCCATCTTGACAGCGGCTTTCCGGGAGTGAACGAATTCCAAGTAGCAAAGACTTGAAGCTTGTCTTCTGCTAAACCCAACTCATCGAAAGCGCCACCGACCCCGCAGTAACTCGAGGTAGCTCTTCTCTCAATGCGCTGCACTAGGGTTTTCGTTCAGCGGAGTCACTCTTGACCACAAAAAAATTATTTATAATAACTGTGTGAGCTGTCAGAATAATTTTTTGCTCAGAAGCTTCCAGAAAGCGGCCAAAATGTTTCAGTGCCGACAACAGCTTATAAACGGGGGATACGGCACTTTTCTTCGTTTTTCCCATAGAGTCCCATGCATTAGCTGGTGTCAAGTGATGGCTGCCGATGGCGCCACTTGACCACAGGAAAAGAAGCCTCGATCCGTGATCCAGTTGGATCGCGGATCGAGGCTTCTTTTGCTGTGGTCTGTCTCTTTGTGGCCTATTTAAATAGAGATCAGTGGTTCGATTCACCGCGGTCCTCTTGTAGATAATAATAGCAACAAAGTGGGGAGTCTTCGTAGTTGATGGAATTCAAAACGGAAACCATGAGAAATGGTAGCCAGATCTAATTTTGTGAATAATCCTCCCCTTTTTTATGTTTGGATTTGCGCCCCCCCCCCCCCCCCCCCCCAACGTTATCAAAAGCATGGCATATACGCAGAGCCCAGTTCGACTCTTGTTTATTTTTTCAGTAGAGTCTATCCCGGCGAACTTGAAAAACGTGCTTTCAGGAGTAACCATTTACTCCTCTGTAGAAGATAATATTTCCTAAAGTCATTTCAGAAGCCGCCGAACTGTGTAACGAAACCTCTCTGGAAGGCTTTGTAGATCTATCAAAAACACTACACCTACTTTAAAATCAAAATAGCGTGTTGAAAAGGTGGATTTGGAATGGAACACCTACCAGGCATAGATATTTTGAAGTTTACTGTGTAGCTAGAACAGGTTCAACAATTATGGTTGCTCTCATAATCCTTATTATACCTCCCTTCTTATTATCCTTGGAGCTCTATTTTCTTTTATGAGGGAGTGTTGTGAATAACGTAAAGCGTGTTCACTGTTAACTGGTGATCGAAGTCTTTATGTACTTATGATCATTTCCTATATCCAGGATCTCGCGTGTTCGGATAAACCCCCCAAAAGTCGAAAACACTCGCCGGCAAATTTTCAGACAATTCTAATTTATCCGAAAATCTCAAAATTTCGAAATCACAACCACAAAAAAAAACAAAAAAAAAAAAACAGTGTTTTACAAGTAAACTTTAGAGCACTGGGCACTTTCCTAACTAGATGCCACTTCAGCTTCCTTTGAAATTCAGAACTACTGACTAAAGAGGTTTGCCTTTTAGCGTCGAGGTTCTTTAAGGACAACGGGTCACGGTAACCGGACTTTATTCATATTCTTTTTGAATTCTGAAGTATAAGTACACAGTAAAATAAACACCGAATTTCAAAGAATTGGGAATCTAACAAAAATAAACTCCGATCAACCCCGAAAGTTTAGCGAAAAATAAACGCATAAGAACACCGTCCGAATTTCACGATGTGATGCCTGGCGCGGCGCCACTCCAGCATACACAGAAGAAAATCGTTTTGCCTACAAGGGTCGCGTGATCTTTGAGCGCGCGAACTCATAGAACTGCCAGCGGCTCATTGCGCAAGCCAGACTCTGATGTCAGGTAAAATATACCAACGAGTATTCAGGCTATAGTGTCTCCTTACTACGCGGATACGACACACGAGAAATGAACCACGAAAACACGGAATCCTACTTATATTTAATCACCCAAATAGCATATACCTTCCAACAAACCTGGAGGGGTGATGCGCGAAAACGCTTTGTATTATATTTATACGATTTTTGTTTCCAAATTGTAAGTTATAAAATTTTCGGAAACTACGCTAGCGCCATAGACAGAGGCGAACTTACTTTACCGCCTTAGGCAATCTTTGAAAGCGTCCCCTCCTCCCTCTCCTCCGTTGCGCCTCCCCAACTGGACGTATGGAAACATATTTGCGCACATATTTCTGCAATTTGAGAAGAGGATAACCTCACGCCACTACGCAATATTTTTAAAGTTGCACAGAGTCTTGTAAGAGCTCGAAGTTACGGCAGTCTATGTCACATCGAACGGCACCAACCACCGAAGTATGCGGCTTGATGATGAGCTGCGCACGGGAGTAGCGCCAATGCACTGCTTTCTCTCCGCAGAGCGCTGGTAAGTTTCGACGCGCTTTATGCACGAGGAGGCTTATTTGGAGCTGCAGTTCTCTGTACGCGTTCAGAGGAACATGGGAAGTGCGATATCACAATTAGAGGGTGACTTGCGGAGTTTCTAGTCCCTCCTCAAAGACGCACATCCTCTGTTGTGTTGTCTGTGTCTCTAAACGGTACAACTTTTTTTTTATTTTATTTTTTTTTTGCCGGGAGGTTGAGCAGTTGAGCTCAAAAGTGATATTCAGAAACAAATGTACCTTCAAGGTCATTCGGCTTGATCTATCGCGCTGAATGTTTGACGTGAACCTATAGTAAGTTAAATTTTATCAATTTTCTTACCACTTTGAACATTTAGAAGGGCCCTCCATAAGTTGACACCGGCCGTTCAAGTTATTCAGAAAGACTGACGTAGATAATTAAGTACAAAACGAGCGTGTTGGTAACGGTAATTAGACATGAGAATGATACATTGTATCTTCCTCATGTCTAACTGACGTAAATGATTTTCTTTTTGAAGGTGTTTTATATGAATGTCTAATCTCGTCTCTTGTCAACGTCTCCTCCGTCATCTGCTCCTTTCTGGGGTCCGTGTTCTTTCCGCTATGCATATATTGATATGCCTGAATAGCAGACTTCCTGAGAGCCGCGCTCCGAAATTTGCCACGCCCCAAACTCTATACTAGTAGGTACCTCTACTCCGGCTATTTTAAGTCCGCCCCTGGTAAATGGCGTAAAATTTTTAGCAAGTTTCTATGGCCACGACTCTAGATGTACAGAGGATAATACTCATACGAAGAATTCGAGAGAACATTAGAAGCTAATAACGGTGCATTTCACATCGTAATCACAGTCGATCCGCTGAAAGTGAGTGAGCTAAACGTTAAAAAAAGAGGCTGCAATACATGCAAAAAAAACAAAACAAAAAAAAAAACTGACCACCTTTGCTTTAAGTTGTGTGTATTCAACTGGCACCCAATTGCAGGTTTAATAACCGAGAGCTCGTGAAACGCAGAACGCGGCAAATCCCGTGCATCTTATTTTCGCTCCTCAGCCAATGACGCTGCGGCGTCAACCAATAGGACCGCTGGAAAATGGATGACAAAGCAAGGGGTGTGACCATAATAGACTACACCCTACATTTCTCAAGCTCTCATCGACAGAGGCATAAGAACTTATCTAAACTCAAGAAAACACCTATTACCTTTTTTTACTACCAGCCCACACTGAATAAACCGTCCTTCAGCGAAACGTCCGTTTCTTCTCGCCAACAGGAGTCGAGAAGGGCCTTCCCCGGCAGGCCCCACCCGTCCGCGATGCGCAGCGTGGAGTCCCTGAAGGCCGACCCGCTGCACGGGTTGGACTCCCGCTGGAGCTGGATCACGGCCGTGTCGTGCAGCTGCATGCTCTTCGTGGCCACGTGCAGCGTGCGCGTGGCCGGGGTGCTCTTCTACGGCATCGTGGACACCTTCGGCGTCACCAGGGAAGAGGCCTCCTGGCCGGTCACGCTCAACGGTTGCATGCTCAACTTGGCAGGTAGGTGACGCCACTTTGGTAACGAGGGCGGAGTACAGGATTTTAAACTGATAGCTTTATATGGAAACCCTCCGTCGCCCTTCCGTTCTCACGTTGGTCGTGCACAACGCGAGAAGAATGATATTCGTATCATCCATTGCGAAAGCGCGAATGATATTGTTATCATCCACGTTTTTCCACTGCCAGCCGGATGCCTGCTGCACGAGTGGTTACTTGAGCGCACACCGGCGCTTTTCACGTCTAAAATTGACTAATATAGCGGTTTTCGATAACGCAAAGCAAGTTTATAACTAGAGCCACATGTTTATTTTTACTGAATAGAACCTTAATAAGACAAAAGTAGCTAATTATCTAGATAATCAGTGGGTTTCTTACAATACCGCGCACGTCCGCCGTGAATGGCAGATTGTTTTATAAAAGAGTTATCGTTTTTCTCAAACACACGTTTTCAGGATGTCTGACAGTCTTCGCAGAAACCCGGTATCAACTGTAACGTAGATAGAAATATGTCGTAATTCGCCAATCATAGCGAGAACGTGTAAAATTTTAATTCCCCCAATAACAGACCCCGTGATTAGTATACTCTTTGCATTTCTGTTTTGAATATTTTGAGTTTCATGAACTAACGCCTTTACGCGCGAAGTGACGAAGCTTCATAATTGTGCTTTAGATTATTCTACACAAAAACAAAAGATGCAGTTCCTTTTTTTTTATGCCATAATGAAAGGTAAAAAATCTCGGATGTTTTTAAACTCTATTGTGCTTGGTAAATTAAGACTAGAAATATGCATTTGACCTCCACGATAGAGTTCCAAAATAACTAACCTTTTGTTCCGGGTATGAAACTTATGTTTTTAATTATAAACCTTCCCACTCCTTTCCTGGATCTCATGGATGTCAAACTTAGACATCAAGTTGGCGTAGATATTTACAACCAATGCAGTTTGCAAAGAATCACAGTTAAAATTCTTTTTTGGTGTGCAAACGTTTTGATTTTGTTGAAGTGTTGAGGTACATATATGTTTTCTCACGCAGGGCCGTTAATGGGATACCTGTGCAGGCGCTTTTCTTGCAGGAACGTCCTGCTCATCTGCTCGCTCCTATGCGGATTGGGAATCAGCCTATGCTACTTCGCCCAGGGAGTTCTCTTCATCAATCTGAGTTATGGCTTATTGCATGGTATGAATCTGTGTAGCTCTACTCTCAAACAACCAGTGATGCATATTCAAAACACTTATAACTGTGAGGTATCAAAATTAGAGCATCTTTGATGCACGAAGTTTGTCGAAAGAAGGACATTAGGAACAAAAATATTGGTTCAAATAAATCAGAGGTATGCGCATTAGTGTTATAAAGACCCCGAAAAATGTAGTCGTATTCAAACTTCATGGCACTGGAATAATCGCAAGATATAATATTCGAAGTCCTAATGTGAAAGTGATTTATTTGAAAGAAGTACTGGAGTTGTAATTAGCTTGGTCGGTCCCCGTAATAACTCTTAGCTGAGTATTTTTTCATATTGAAAGGATGTTGAATGAAAAAAGGACTTAATGACAAAAGATTTTGAGAGTCGACTGAGATTGAGAATCGTCCGAGCGACATCAGCCGTGGGCTCGAGCTTTTTGCACCATCTTTGCAGCCAGGGAGCTTTCTTCTCTTCTTCCTAAAAATATTAACGACAACATTCATCTGCCCCCAGATATTTATGTATGGTTGAACAGAAAGCATCTCCTATATTAATTCATTTGTGAACCGGTTTCGTTTGTTAGTATGCTCACGCTGACAAAGTTTGCATGTCACTAGCGTGAATAAACAAATCTCCGACATTGCTCAAGAACAGCTTGGGTAGAAAATACGCTAGAACCGATTTTCGCAATCATCTGTTAATTATCGAAGACTAGCCCCAAATGCACGTGGCTGAACTAGTATTGACAATGCGAATGCAGTTATAGCCAAGCTTAAATTGAGTCGCGACGTTCATGTCCGAAAATGAATGGTGAGCTCGTGTTTTACTGACGTGCACAAAATTCTTAGAGGAGGCGCACGAGAAGACAGGGTGACGCCACGGTATTGTTTTCAACGGAAGCCATTAGCGTAGACATTCAGTGCAGCAGCCGACCTTAGTTTTGAATCAATGTCAGCTCACCTGAGCACAGCGCTAACAAAGTGTTGGGGGCCACATTCGGCGCTGACCTTTTTCACACAAGACCTGGAAATTGAGAGCATAGATCCCCTCCATGCGCTAGCGAGAACAGCCGCGATTATGCCAATCCCAGTAAGTTTCCCGATCCGGCGGTGAGCGAAGAGCAGTCTGATAACAAGAGGAGCGAAAAATACTTATCATGTAGGTTTTTGTCAATTACTGGCACTGGTGAATGTTGTGCATGTGATTGTTGCTTCTTAGTGATTTACTATGCGACGTAACGCGGACCCTGCCGTTGGTGGCGCTGCTAACCAGCTGCCAACTCGGAACGGCGCATAAGTGGACCTTACATACGCTTGAGTTCAATCCATATTGCGTTTCTATGAAACCTAGTCTCTCTGCATACATGTGTTTAAACACTAAATATTTATGGTCAAGCCTAGACGTCGCCACTAATGTACTAGACTAGATTGTGATCTAATTTTTCTTGAACTAAGATATTTGTTGGTAATTAAATATTATTTAGGTACGTAGAAAATGTGACAGTCGTATATATTGCTGAGCCTCAGGTTATTGGGGCTGTAATGACGTGACAGGTTTTATTTTTAGCATTTCCTCCACTCGTGAATTTGAAACGTCTTACCGAAAGATTCCCCACTTAAATGACAGAGGTGTTACTGATACAAAAATATACGATTTAAATGTGTTTTGTGATACAATGGGTGGTTTAAAAACGATTAGATGTATTCTTAAAACTCCATGTCCAAGCAGTGTGAAAAAATATCTCGTGAAAGTGCAGTGCCCTTTTAAAGCTATCGAGCTGAACAAACTTTCAGTTTATGGAAAGTGGTGCTTTAAATACTATAACAGATCTAAGTATTGCGAACATATTCGAAGTAAATTTTATGGTGATCTGACTCCGTATTGATCGCGCTTCCTGCGCGATGTTTCATTAGTGCAGATTTAAATAATATAGTCTACCCATTCATATAGATTGTCGGGAAATGTGCACCTCACACAATCATCTAAAGAAAAAACGACTTGCACGATTTTTTACTTCAATTTTAGTATAATAATTTAGTGCCGAACGATGATCGAAATTTACCGTTTAGTATGTTAAATTCGACATGAGCATTTTTCGGCACCACGACAGAAGAGCACACGACATAACAGCACGCGACAAAACAACACGGTCAAAACAGCACGCGTCAAAACAGCACAGCGTCAAAACAGCACGGCGACAAAACAGCACGCGTCAAAATAGCACGCGACAAAACAGCACAGCGTCAAAACGGCACAGCGACAGAAGAGCACGTGCCAAAACAGCACGGTGTCAAAACAGCACGACGTCAAAACAGCACAGCAACAAAACAGCACAGCGTCAAAACATGACATTGACAATATAGCAAGGGTTCGGCGTTTTCGGTTTGTATTATTTGAAATTCCACGCACTTTTGTTCGGTTTTTATTCCAAACAAAAGATTTCGTTTATTGCGGTGAATATTTGTAGGCTCATAAACTTCTCAGTTATATTAGGTTTATTGACGAAAACCAGTACACTAACGAAAATGCTATAATTAAAAGTGTTTGTGTAAAATGGATATTGAGTACCAGGTACTGGTCTTTTTATTGTTTGCCGTCTTTGGCAGCCGACGCGACCTGTTCTGAAAGACTCACTGGGGTCCTATGGTGATCTGACATTATCGTCGTGTGCTCGTATTCGTACACAAGACGAGCATGACCTTCAGTACCACTTCGGTCGGAGAGGCAAATATCAAAATGGAGAAATTAGCAAGCATTGTACTCGGTGCGTTTTCCCCCATTTTCATGACTCCGAGAGGTGATAAATTCGCGCCGACGGCAGAAATGACAACAAAACAGTCGTATTTATGACGGAAGCCAGGGGTGTTAAACAATGCGCGGCATTTACGGACGCTCTTGATTTCCGTTGTTTGATTTTGCGATTAAACTCTCTTCTTTTAACAAAGAATTCGGCACAAATTCCTATCAGGTGAAAAACCCAGATTTCGTCCTGAAGACCCCTGCGCCCCAGGGGCTTTTGTTGAAAGTTGAACCGATCTCGCAGACAAGCTGAAAACTGCGAGAGGAAGTAGTCATGTGGTCAGTAATGAGTAGGGTTCCGTGTTTTCGGAGTTTAGTTTTCGTCAAGTTCGGAGGGTGTTTTTCTGAGTTTGTTTTTTGCCGAAAATTCGGAGTTTATCGGAGTTTATTTTTGTTTGATTCCGAATTCTTCGAAATTCGGAGCTCAATTTCGCAGTGTTTCTTATTAAAAATAAACAAATAATATCCAAATGTAAACGAATGCTGGACAAAAAAGATTAAAAAAAAATCACCATTGTATCTAATAATATTTTCTTCAGTTGGATTTGGCGTTGGTGCCATTACTAATGGCAATACTAATTGGTCCTAGAACACAAGTGGCACACAAGTGTTTTTTCGATAAATGTCGATACCTCAAAATCAATGACCTACTGGAGGTAGTCGCTGGGAAGCCTGTATTCATTCCATGCTATTCCATCAACCTACTGCGCGGCCGCAAGAGGTAGAGTGGAAAAGGATGAAGTAGAGAAGTTTCAACTGTCCTCTTCCCAACTTTATGTAATTTTTATGGTCCATAGCTTTCACGGTTACAGACACACAACCTCTCCTTCCTCTCACGCACATATAGTATGACCCACACCGGAAACATAAACAGTGACTTTTGCCTTCACCCGCTAGTAAATTGACCTGTAGCCCTGACCGAAATTTGAACGATACGTGTGGTGGCATTCTCCCAGGGACATCTACTCTACGCGCTGATTAAACCATTAATTGTTAAATATATTTGTGTGTATGTGTGTGTTGGGGGGGGGGGGGGGGGGGCGGGATTGGCACATCGAAATTCAAAGTCTATCAAGTAAATCTCAATCGACGAAACTTTTACCGACGGGTGTTTTTCGAATTTACCCGAAAACACAAAACCCTAGTTATGAGTCCCATTCTTCCCCCTCCCCCCAGCCCCCCCCCCCCCCCCCCCCCCCCCACACACACACACACCACTCCATACTGAATGAATTCGGCGTAGTTTTACCGGTTATGTTTGGTTTTACCCGAAAACGCTGAACCCTAAATATAGCGTTTGAAGTAAAAAAATGCACGTCTCAAATAAGGCACTGTAAAGTAATCGAGGTTCTGGGCCAATTCGACGAAAGCCAACTCGTCGACGGCCAATTTTTCGAATCTGTTCTTTTGGAAGCAAGTTCGGAGTGGGGAGTATACTCGATGAGCGCATGACGGTTCCCTTGGCAGTACCGAAGCCCCCGCTGGTGCGTATTTTGGCTATTTCGTAGGGCCGAGGTTGAGCAGTTTCGCGTGGCTCGCATATTGAGCCGTGCTCTCTGCTGCGCATGCGCGTGGAGCAGTGACGTCACACGGCGCACAGCTGGCGCGCCGGAGCCGCTACAGCCGCGCGCTGCGCCGCCGCCACGCCCGCCTCGCTGGTCTACGCATTCCAGAGTGACGTCATAGCCGCGGCACATGCACTGGCGCCGCGGCGTGCCCAGCTGTGCGCCTCCGTTGCGCAGTAGCCAAGTCTGACGCTGCACCGGAGCCGCTTGATAGCGCCTCTCATTTTGTGCGCGTAAGCTCACGCTACGTATATCCTGACATAGACGAGCTAAGCCACCGCAATTTTTTCGAGCAGTTTCGCTCAATTTCACGCGCAAGTTTACTGGTGACATCGTCTACAATAAATAATTTAATTGCACGGGAATGCGCTGTCGTTAGTTGTTAAAAGAAAAAAAAAAACAGAAAGCGTGTGCGGTAACGGTGTGTTCAGCCCATGCTGTAGTGTAAGACCACGGCATTGAGGCTGCGGCATGTTACTGCTTCACCGGTTTCCAGTCGATCAAGGCCTTCGTCGGCTATAATCTGTGAATGTAACTCAAAACATACAACTTCTCGACTGTAAGCTCCAGCCGCGTGCTTCCAGGAGATCTTATTCACGACGAATGAACCACGCAGAATCGGTGCCCATGGTACACCTTGAATACGCTCCACATTAAAGTCACCTTATCTTAAAGGTTCTATCAATGCATCTGTAATCGGCGCATCTCCCGCTTTTTTTTTTTTTTGGGGGGGGGGGGGGGGACGTTTTACGCTTAGGTGGTAATTACGAAACGACGAGTACTACGGAACCTCACGGGACCGCCACAAACCAGGTAGTTCATAAATTGAACTTATGGATATCTTTTTCCCAATAACTTTTCCTCTTTCCCTGCTACTTCAAAAAAGACCAGACAACGCAGCCAACATCGACGAGACGGTATCCCCCCTAACTCCCAATCTCTTCAGAGGTGAGCGTAGTTAAGTAGTAGTAACTATTGCTAACTTTGCTTTTAGCAATCACACAGCAGCAGCACTCGGGACACTGACTTGAGTGCGATCCCGTCGCCGCCAGCGTACTTTTTTTTTTATTGTTTCTCCACTAGCTGTTAAACAATGCCATGCCATGTCCAATCCTTTCTTCTTTACGTTCTGTTTTGTTTTCATAAAACGCTACCTATTACAGCCTTTTTACATTCGTGCTGTTTTGTCGTTGTGCTGTTTTGACGCCGTGCTGTTTTGGCACGTGCTCTTCTGTCGCTGTGCCGTTTTGACGCCGTGCTGTTTTGTCGCGTGCTATTTTGACACGTGCTATTTTGACGCGTGCTATTTTGACGCGTGCTGTTTTGTCGCGTGCTGTTTTCTCGTGTGCTGTTCTGTCGAGTTCCCCATTTTTCATTGCACAGAACTGTTTGCAAGCAGAGTTTCATCTCTAAGATTCAAATAGGCAAATTCAGGGACCATTGGTTCCTGCTAAGTTTCTTGTGCTCTTTATGTATTTGAATTCGCTTGGTGTTATGCTGTTTTTAGAAGAGAAAATACCTGAAAAGCACGAAACAACTCTTTTTCTTTCAGGTATCACTCTTTCTGGCATATTCGTCGGTGGCAACGTGCTCGTTTCACAACACTTTGAGAAGCGTCGGAATACGGCCCATAGCCTGCTTTTCACGGTCACCGGACTGAACACCTTCGCTATCACGACAATCGTCGAGTATTTTCGTTCCACCTACGGCACCCGAGGAGCTTTCCTATTGTTGGGCGCCCTTGTTTTTAACACGTTTCCAGCAAGCATTTTGCTGCGAAGCCCGATATGGATATTGCCCATCAAAACATCATCGAAGGGTGCTTCTCAGCGAATGACAACGGTGGTAAAGCAAAAGATGTTAAGCTCTTTACACGCGGACGATCTAAAACCAGGAGACAACATCGTCAAAATCCGTCCTAATGCGGCAGCTATTCGCCAAGCGAACTCGGCTAAGCTCGCCAGGTCATCGGTAGTAGATGACTGGACCGGTAGCGTACAATCGTTTCTTGAGTTGAATGTCGAGAAGCCTTCTGTGGGACCCCACGCCCGGGCTGCTACGCTGAGAGAAACGTCAAAGCTATTCCTTACGCCTTCTTTCGTTGTAATTGCCCTTTCTTTCTCGGTAGTAGTCTTCGGCATGGCCACGTTCATCCTCCTCTCAGTCGATCTGGCTAAGGATAAGGGTATTGTTCCTTCGGAGGCCATCTATCTGTTGCACGCCTTCACGGCTGGTGACATCGCATTCAGGGCCCTCACGGGCTTTGTTCTAGACTCCGGCTTCTTGTCTCTAGAAGCTGTCATGCTGCTAGGATACTTGGTGCAGGGCTTTGCGTATGAATTGCTCGTCTGGTCGGAAACTTTGCCCATGATGCTGCTATGCTCCGTTCTTGTGGGAGTGAGCAATGGCTCGAGAATTTCTCTGCAAGCTCCCAGCCTCATCAAGAGCTTCGGTGTGGACACTCTTCCTATTATGATGGGCGGCATGGTCTTCTGTATTGGTGCCTTCACCTTGGGTCGTCCAGCGCTTGTCGGTAAGCATGGTCACACCGCACACGTTTGAATTTTTCTAGGGCCCTAGTTTGTTCCTAAAGATAAAAAAAGCTCCACAGTGGACTTGCTTTTTTTTTTTTAGTTGCTTTATGGTCACTTGAATAGCCAAAATTTTTGATATTTACCTGAACCTGGTTTCAAGAAACGTCGATCCTATTTCCAGACCTTATTTATTCTTAAATAATCCAGATATTAATTTTAGTACTAGTGTCATTACGCCTTTTAAACTGCTCGGAAGACATCTAGTACCCATAGCCTACGTTCACCTGGCTACATCCGTTGGACGCATTTGTAGTAGAACTTCCTGGGATTTGTGGGGCTCATATTCCCTACTATTTGTAACACTTCCAAACCAATATTCTTCTATGTAAAAAGAATTACTGTTGTTTCCACTGCATTTTAAAGCAAACTAAGGCCCTTCTTTTTATTATTATGGTAATCTTGCTAATTAATGGTTTAAAAAAAAAAAACACTTAACCACTCTCACGCTAACTTCTAATAAATGTTTGACAAGTGTTTCTAAAGTTCACTTTATCTAAAAATGCATCCTATTTTAATGGTTTGTTGTGGAGAAAGATACTCGCATGTGCAGTCGCCGCACGAAACTACAAGTTTGACTTGGTTAAACTATTTTGTGTTTATAGTCATAAAGGTTTTTCTGGTGCACCATTATAAAACAATGTCTCTTAAAATCTTTTATGCTGTGAAAGGTTTCTCTCTTTTTTATGTCTCTTTATTTTCCACATTGCCTTGATTATTTCAGGTTACTTCAGAGATCAGCTAGGGGACTACAGGGGACTTCTGCACATTATTGCCATCGTCAACGCTGTATTCTTTGTTGTGTGGACGTTGAGGCTCCTGCTGCAAAGACGAAAGCAGTCGAGAGTCGAAGACCCCGAGAATGAAGATAAAGGGTGTGACAAAAAGGAAAACCTACTGGAAGCAGACAACTCTTGAAAGTTAGGGTAATAGTTGCTGTTATAGAGCTAAAAAATGCGATACATTCAAACAGCGTTGTCTGATGTATACGTGTTTATTTATACCCGATGGAACCCTAAAAATGGTCCCATAAGCTGTAAATTGCCCATATTTGTATTTTCACCACTTCTGTTACTTAAAAATATAAAGAATGTTATTGAACGTCATGGCTTAATAAGAGCGCTACAACAGGCCAAGTGAGATTGTTATAGCGGAATTGTTTTTTCGTCGTATGGACATAAATATATGTAAGTTATACTTATACAATTCACTAAACCATTGAGCATTTGACACCACCATTTATAACCACGAATCACATAATAAATGCAGCGAGTGGCTTATCAAGCTCTCGTCCTCAGCCTCCATTATTCTAGAAAGCCTCCTGATTCCAGAACGGAGCCATTGAGCACGCGGTCGCCGGAAAAAAACGAGGCGCAGCGCCGAACGGTTTCACATATGGTGGCGCAGAGCCACTTTTGCGGTAACCCTTCAGCCAGCGCCAACAGTACGCACGGTGACCTCTCCGCGAACCAGTAAAAAACCGCAACAAAAAAAGGAGGTTAATGAAGCGTGGAGAAATAAGAAAGGAGCGGAATAGAGGAAAAGGTCAAAACAAAAAGATCTGCTTTTCTAAAAAAAAATTATGAAGCGCGTTTGTGTTTTTAGGTTTTTCCGCAGGGGCATTGTTTGCCGCTGCCAGAGAGATCCCCTGCGCACGTCCCCTTCTCTGATCTCCTTTCCCCTTTACAGCGGCCGAGTACATTCGCGATTTGATAGGCTTTCTAGAATAAAGGAGTCTAAAGTCTTCGACGTTCAATTACTGTCAAACGCGGCAATCTTATTAGCAGCGGAGCGATATTAAGATACTCGATTTAGGCCTTATGTTTCATAGGCTTACAGTGTTAGGGGCTCAGTTACCTGAAGAAGTGTTTCAATGGGAATTTCGAGCCGTCATCAGAAAAGTTTCGTTTATTGTTATGTTAGCGCTGCATGACCACATGTACCCGAATCGCATAAAGAGTACAAAACATTTACACACATTAATTTATTTTTTCTATGCGAGACTAATCGCAAATATTTAATAAAGCACAACAGAGAAGCTACAGCTATCATTTCCATTATAACATCTTTGAGCCCTATCAGGCATTGACTAACAACGTTTTGTATATACTGAAATGGTGACCTTAGTATTGTATTCGATATATTGAAACACAATCAAGTTTGTGAATTCTCATCAGTGTGAAATTAAAAGGTGAAATGTGAAACAATTAGTTAAAAACCCAAATATCGATAAGGTTGGAAGTGTGAAGTACGAAGAAACAGTGACTAGTTTTATATGTGCTTTCTACCTGTCTTTATGACACTGGTACGTGCGGAATAGTTTATTCACCGCACATTTAGGCTTTCAGATAGCGTACTCAGACTGAGCCGTAGCAGTTTTCCCCCCAAAGATTAAAAATTATAAATAAAGCACCGAAATCTAAAACAGGACTCGTTTCTTTATTGGCGCCGTTGTTAAAAATAATGTTAATTCTGCCACAGCGCCAGTGCTAAAATGAATCTGTGTTGGCAACCTCTCGTAGAAGATACTAATATAGAAATGGTTCAGTTCTCTCAAGACCTTTATTTTTACTTCCAAGTTAAACGTCAAAATAAAAATGTAGATTTTGAAAGGACGAGACCATTTATATATTTGCGTCTTGTACGAGACGCTGCCCAGGTACATTCCCATTAGTGCTAGCGTCCTGGGCAGAATTGACATTTATTTTTCTAGATTCTTATCTTAGATGTGCGACAAAACAAACATGTTGTCGGCTACTCCAACATCGGTAAAACAATTTATTTAGCCCAAAGTTAAAAGTTAGGGCCTATATAAGAGATCAACCTATAATCTTGTGTCGTCGGCCACCTGAAAATAAATAAGAAGTGAGCTTTACAACCCCTTTACCTTTCGCACAGGACGACTTTCATCGCGCGTAACGCATGCTATGAAAAAATCGCACCAAAACTGCATTGGTACCGTTGGGTGGTGCCACAAGTAGTGTGCTAAATGTCATGGGTACTAAACACGGCGCTTTTCATTATCGATTTGTGGTCGTTTGTGACCGAAAAAAAAAGTTTTAAAGGAGTCTCGAATCATGCACGTATCTGCTAGCTGTAAAGTGGTGCTGGCAGTTAATTTGTTTACACTATACGCACGGGCAATTATGCCAAATATTGCTTGTCTAGACGTGTAGTTAGTTAATTAGCACCGGCGACAAATTATGAAGGAAGCAATGTTCGTGAAAATGGAGCGTGCTGGTAAAGTCACGGTGTTTGAGGAAAATACCATAGAGGACGAAGACCGGACGACACGTTCCTCCATGTGTCGTCCGTTCTTCGTCCTCTATGTTATTCTCATCAAACACCGAAGCAATGTTTTTATGCATAATACTATATTTGGCATCCCGATCGTTTAGTAGCAACCGCATGCTGGTAATGCTCACTAAATTATCCCAAATGAGAAAACCGTCATAGAAAGCAACGCCGAATGCAAAGCGGAACAAAGCGGAGCGAATGCAAAGCGCCGCCATTCAAGAAGCGCACGCATGTAAGTACAGACAAAAAAAGCCTTTTTGAAGTCTCCACGTTGAGTACTGTATAAGCACTCACATTTGTTAGGTACAAGCAAGATAAATCAATCTAGTTTTGAAAGTTGCGTGAGCGCAGCATCGACAATGGGACATTCTGATCTCAATTACAGTTTCTACGGTCACGCTGTCATGCTTGAATGGTCTTTTAAAGAACAAAAATGTTCAATAAGACAGAACCCAAGGCCATTTTGTGTGTCAAGTGGGAGCGATGCTCCATGCACTCTTTAGCAGGCGACACTGTAACGACCATCGAAAACCGCAAAACAGCTACAGTGATGTCCCTTTAGTTGGGACACCTTCATTTCCCTCAAAGAAGTGCCCATGATGTTAGTTGTGCATAATTACGAGACCAAAATGCATTTAGTCACCCCGGTTCGTAACGGAAAATGTCGTTTACATAGTATCCATATCGACAGCCCCTGTATTGCCGACAGATGGCTGTATTTCGACGGGGGACGTCCTAATAATTGAGATCCTATTTTCATCGGGAAACGTCAGTGTAACGAAGCAGCTTTTTCGACGAGAAATGTCAAAATAATTGTTAAACTATTTTCACGCCTCACAGAAGTGACACCACCGAGGTTGAACTAGTCAAAAAATCAACATGGTGAATTATGACGGCGGATACATACAAATAGTAAATGCTAGCCAAGATGATGGGTAATTACGTTTTGTGCATTTTGGACAGACGGAAGTCTGTGAGCTCCAATAAGAGCCTGGTATCTGCGGTGTAGATGAGAAATTCCGCCTGTGCAGTACTACAGCTTACCGTGGGATTTTAACGTTCATCACGCAGTAGTGCACAGCCATGGCGCCCGAATCCCACACCGTCTCACACACAAACATACCCGCTCACAAAGAAACCCAAACAAACGACTTTGTAAATACATAATACGATTGGGATTGCTAAATGTAACTTTCCGAAAGTCTTCACGATTTCCTTAAATGGACAGCCGTACCTGTAACACTGTGCAAGTAATTTATTGCTCGTAACCAACATTAATGCCTCTTGTAATATTGTGGCACATGAATTACTTTCATGGGCAGTAAAGGTCCTCGTAATTCCATTATTTTGGTTCTGTAGTAAGTTTTCATACTTTGTTTGTTTCGCCTTAAATCTGACCACAGCTGATGCTACGAGCCGACAAGGCCAATCAAGCAGTTCTAAAAGCTCAAGGTCACAACCTTCGTAATATTTTTGTGGCTGTGCTACCATCGGCAAGAGAAATTAAGCGCATTGAATGCGCTGTGACCTTGCGTTTTTTTAATATCTGTTCGTGCTTCTGTGTGTTCTAGCCTTTGAGTGAGTTCAGATATATAATGGAACGATGTTTCATTTCTCTAAGACTCTTGCTGTTGAACTGCAAGTGAGTCACTCAGTGATGGAGCTAAAATATTGCAAGGATACGCTCCATTGCCGCTGCCCCTGTTTCATGTTATGGAAGGCAGGAAAAGCTCCTCGCGGAAAGCCCTCCACTCTCTTTACTTTAGCAGAGCAAACGCTGGAGAGGAGGCGAGTTCCTCCTCACCTCCTTTCCCCTACTCTCTAGCATTCACTCTGCTAAAGTGGAATGAGTAGAGGGCTTTGAGGGAGGTACTTGTCCTACTTTATTAACCTGCACAAAGGTTATGCATGGGTTCAGAAATACACAATGACGACGGCACTGACGTCATCCATACAGTATTTGTAGATCATCTCTGTACAGTGGACCCGATGCACCAAAATCAGATCGCTTGATGGCTTGTTTCCGGCACGGGGTATAAAAAGACAATGCCCTGGACAACGAATTTACGAACGGTGCAGCCTTATCGCAACAGTCACAAAGAATTGTTAAATCATTTTACAGAAGCACTTACTCATTTATTCAGGATGATATGTTTCGTGGTAAAGGAAAATCAGTCTGATCATAAAAAAAATAAACATTTAATTTCTATCATAAACACACCTCCGAAAGGAGCAGATCATCTCATAGTTTGATCTTGCTAAGGCGTGCCCACGGTTGCCGGACTACTACTCAAACAAAGCATATTCCATCCGCGTGGGCTTACTATCTTTCAGAGCGCGGCTGCTTGAATGCCTATAAGTTATAACATCCTCAATGATCAATCTGCTTGTGCGAAGGGAACCCCGCCGGTTCCCTTCGCTTTTTTTCTTTTGAACTGAGTCGTCGGCTGCGAATTCCCTTGCCTCGATGTTCTGCAATCGTGTTTGCAACCTAGCGCGGCGCCGCTTCGAATCGAATATCATCGTATGTGCGACTGCCGTCTTAAACAGGGCCAATGGACGCGCTTTTGGGTGGTGTCTACAGCCGGTAAGGATTTTATCTAATTTACCTAGCACTTCGCTTGAAAAATTTACATTTGTCTTCTCCAACCCTG